TCCCCTGCATCGGCAGGCGGACTCCCAACCACTGCGCCACCAGGGAAGCCCCCCAAATTAATTCTTTATGGATTAATGACTTGCATATGAAAAAATGAAACAAACATGTAAAATGAGTAATTGCAGTGGTAATTAGGGAAATAAAAATTAAGACCATGATAAAATAATCATTTAAAAACCACTAAATTTGCCAAAATTAAGAAATCTGATAATAGTGTTGGCAAAGATTTGGGTCACTGCTGGTAGGGGTATGTGTGTATATATATAATTTTAGAAAAAAATTTGGCAATATCTAGTAAATTATAGTTATACTATAGCATATGCAGTAAAAAAAAAAAAAAAAAAAAATCATGTGCAGTTCCTGTGGAAAACAGCATAACAGTTCCTCAAAACATGGGATTACCATATGATCCAGCAATTCCACTTCTGGGTATATACCCCACGGAAATGAAAGCAGGGACTTGAGCAAATATTTGTACAGCCATGTTCATAGCAGCATTATTCACAAGAGTCAAAGGTGGAAGCAATCCAAGCATGCATCAGTGGACGAACAGATGGACAAAATGCTGTGTGTATATATGTATATATACAATGGAATATTATTCTCTCTTTTAAGACCATTGGTTAACTGATACCAGCTAGTGCTGGACCTCCAGGATGGTGAAAGTTCTGGAAACTCTGAAAGGGAGGAAAGGCTGAATGAGATGGGATGCTGGTCTATAAAATGCTCATGGGCTTTTTGGACAGTCTAGTTCAGAAGCACAGCTACTACGCTTTGCTTGGCTGAAGCACTCTCTTCTCTTCTCTCCAGGAAGTTCATTCTCTTTGATTAAGTGAGCCACCTCCCGAAGGATCCAGATCCACAGAATCAGCCTGAAGAAGGGAAAGCCAAGTTGGAAGACACATGAGACGTAACTTCAGGTATTAGAAAACCTGTCTTATAGACATGCATTCACTCTGAGCCATTCAGAGAGGAAGCTGGGTATTTAGAGGCCACAGGGAAACCGTGTAAGCTTAGATCTGGGCAAGCATCCACGGGGTAGGCTGCCTGTGAGGTCCTGGGCAAGGTCAACCATATAGACTGTCAGAGGTTCCAGGACTGGAGGCTGGGGAAAAGAGAAAATATGACAGCTAAGGTCCTCTCTCACTCTGTGACGATCATTCAAATGCATCCAAATGTTAGACACCCCACCCGCCAGTAACAACACTCAGTCCTAGAACCACTCAGTCGACATTTATTTTGAGTTGAGTTTTCTCTCTAATTGTTCCGTAACCCATTCTGATCTTACCATGAACCATCTTAGCCCTTTGAACATAATCTGTGCTCCCTGGAGAATTAAAACTGCTGCCAAGGCTTAGGTTTTACTACTTATAAAGTAAGCCGTGCATTTCGCTAATAAAAAGCTGCTTAAAGCAGATACATACATTTTTTTTTCTATGTTCCAGAAAGGTCATTGTTTGCTACCTCTTCTATAAACAAGCCTACCATCTTTTCAAGGTTTTCTCCCACATGCATTTATAAAGCACTACCATATTCTGCCAACAAAAGTTCTGGAAGCTCACAAGATACTGAACTTGAAGATTTATATAAACAGCCACAGGCAGGTCTTTTTTTTGTGTGTGTGGTACGCGGGCCTCTCACTGTTGTGGCCTCTCCCGTTGCGGAGCACAGGCTCCGGATGTGCAGGCTCAGCGGCCATGGCTCACGGGCCCAGCCGCTCCGCGGCATGTGGGATCTTCCCGGACCGGGGCACGAACCCGTGTCCCCTGCATCGGCAGGTGGACTCTCAACCACTGCGCCACCAGGGAAGCCCCAGGCAGGTCTTTTTTGATACTGTCCAAGACACAGTAATGAAGAGGGGATCATAAATAGGTCAGCTAAGTACAGTCACTTTAAAACCACGGATGGAAACGAGAGGCCACTGCAAGGTTTTGATCGATGCTGATGCTAACTTGAACACCGTGAGAAATGTGATGCCGATGTCTTTTCCATCTGGCAGTTTCTTTTCTTAGCAGTAATTAAATCAGTGAAAATTGAATATAGTCATGCGAGTTGCTCACATTTTTTTAGCAACAATCATGAAACCCAAACCCCATTGATACACTTTGAAAATCTACAACTGACAAATTTTTAAATGTCAGGTCCATGCTAGTTTATTCTGCAGGCTACTCCAGGGAAGCCAGGCATCAGCCCAAGTCTTCCCTGCAGGCAGGAGGAAGGCTTCTCCTCCAGAGCTGCAGGCAGAGCCCACTGGGCTCTGTGTCCCTTTCCTGGCACCATCTGGGTGGTGTCACTGTGAAATTTTCTGCGTATGCTGCCAGCACTGGCATCCTGTCAAATCCTGGCCCAATACTTCAAGTGTGTATACGTATAGCTGATTCACTTTGTTATACAGCAGAAACTAACACAACATTGTAAACCAATAATACTCCAATAAAGATGTTAAAATTAAAAAAAAATACTTCAAGCGTGTGCTGAGTCAGAACAGGTGCAGGAATTAAGTAACCGCTTTGTACCCACATTTACATGTTGCAGCTCGTGGGCAAGCGGGCTCCGGCGTGCTTCCTCCTTTCTTTGGCCATTGGTTTCCCCTGCCCAGGATCGGTTGGCTGCCAGGCATGCCCTGAAGGGTTACTTCATCGCTGTCATTTGATGAGTTACTGACAGCATGTTTGATGTTGTCCTTTCATTCTTGTGAGGCCACTTCTTTCTGTTGTGGAATCACTTCTCCCCCCAGAACATACAAACCTACACTACCTACACGTGCCCCTGCACCTGTGTCTGGAGACCCTCAGGAAAGGGGAGCAATCATGACTTTGGTCTTAGGAGCATCTCACTACCTTTCTCCTCACCCAGAGTGTGAAGTCAGGAAAAGAAGCAGAGGCCACGTTTAGAGACGGAGGGAAAGTAAGGAGCTGACTCAGACTCACAAAGAACTTAGCAGTGAATAGTGCAGACTTTAGCACCTCGTGCTGAGTGGGCAGTGCCAAATATGGACCTACTTTTTAAGGTTAATAGTGATTATGAAATAGGGGCTGGCTCTCAGTGTGACACAGAGACTGAGGCTGCTGCTGACGAGGGAACATCAAAGCAATGTATGGGGAACCTAGATGCCAGTGAGGTTTGCCCTTAACACACCAAGCTGCCGTGTGACCCCAAAACAGAAAGGTCTGAACCAAGGGCTGGGGTCCACCGAACTGGTCCAGAGGTGGTGCTGAGAAGACAGAGGGACACAAGTGGAGGTGAGAGGTGGGAAGACCTAGATGCCCAACGTCCAGGATGCTTTCATGCCCAAACACAGGGCTGAGGACACGACCTAGAGAGGAAATAGCACAGGTAAGAAAAAGAAGCAGGAGGGTGCTGGCAGAGTTAGAGAGTAAGGCGGTCGCATTGATATTCTTAGAAAACAATGTTTAAACAAAACCAAATATGTATTTCTGGACCCTGAAGTGGAAAGGAAGATCCTTCCAAAACAAAAATGGGAGTGCGTAAGATCAGGAGGCAAAAGGGCTGTTAAAAGCAGTGGCTTGGTCTAGTTTTAGCTAATTATATACTGAGATGAAACGGATCCCACGTCACCATGGGGGGATGGAGCTGAAGCCCCCCACCGGGCTGGCTGTTGGGGGCCTGGTTCTGAAAGCTGGGCCAGTGAGCACGCAGAGCCCCCTGGAGCCGGTGCTGACAGGCCAGGTAGCAGGGGACACGGGGACACGGAAGCCTCTGGACACTGACGTGTGGACAGTCAGCTCTACTTGCCTGGCAGTTTCCGGGCACTACTCCTCCCCACCTTCACAAGGCTATTATCAAGAGAAAGGAAGGCTGTGTTCAGTGATCCTAGGGAAGGTTTTCCCTTTTCTCATGCAGAAAATAAAAAGGAAAAACAAGCTGAGTCATCAGGAAAAAAGAATTATAACCTGATACTAAGTTTAGTTGAAACTTTGTGACTGTTCTAAAGAGAACAGATGAGAGACACTTGGGAACCACTGGAGAAGGAGGCCAGGAGGGGAACTCAGGTAACCTAGCGACAGGGATGTGAACATGGCCATGGCCCCCTTTTTCCTAGGGAGACAGGAGCAAACTGTGATCTGGGCCTATTGGCACGGAACGGGGCTCTGCAACCTTCCCTGTTCCAAAAACGGTGGGGTGTCTGGTGAGTTCAAGATCCAGCTCTCTCTCCCTGGCTTGCCCACAGGCAGAGTCCCTTCCCTCTCTCTCCTTTGCTCCTGCCCACCTGCC